CGTTTAGAGCCCAGGACGGGGCGGGTTTTGTTGTGTTTTTAGGAAGATGATGTGATTATTTGAGTGATGGTTTACAGTCTTTCACCTGCAGCATTGCCATTGCTGGAGCTGGGTAGACGGAATCCACACAATGTATAGAATACATAGGATATAGCATGTTGGGACTTCTTTTGATGAGGTTTCTGCCATGTTTCATTGTTCCACCCTCAGGGCTGCATAGGAATGTCTATAAAGGGACAGCTGGACATGTTTGCTGTCAACACTACCATGGTGGTGGCCAGCACTAAGCTCTGGCTGGACTTAGGCCCTGCACCAAAGACTTAACTAAGATGATTCACAGAATTCTCCTATCAGCACCATGCATTTATTCTTTCATAGCTTTTCTGCTTTTATAAGATAAGGAACATTAAAGAATACTCAACAGATGGAAGAGTTGGTACTTAAATGCAGTAAGCAACTAGAGGAACAAGTACTGTGGGTATGGATGTGTGGATGTGGGTGCACTGGTGTGTGGATGTGGGTGTGGTTGTGAGTGTGGGTGTGTTTGTGGATGTGGGTGTGGTTGTGGGTGTGAGTGTGGATGTGGGTGTGGATGTGGGTGTGGTTGTGAGTGTGGATGTGGGTGTGGATGTGGGTGTAGACGTGGATAGAGGTGTGGATGTGGGTGTGGTTGTGGATGTGGGTGTTGGTGTGAAGGTCACTGTTGAGTGTCTTTCTCGACTGCCTTCCACTTCCACCTCATTGTTTGAGATAGAATCTCTCACAGACCCCTAGCTTACCCATTGTCTTAAATGGCTAATGATCTCCAGGGATCTATTTGTCTCTGCCTGCTCCCAGGTTCTGGGGCTACAGATTTGTTAACATGCCCGGATTTTCACACAGGTGCAAGGGATTCAAGGCCAGGCTCTCACATTTGGGGAGCAGGCACTTTAGCAACAAAGCCATCTCCTGAACACGAATGGTGAAGTACTTTATGGAACCCTTGTATTTACACTTGGCCACAGATGAGATTCAGTGTGTTCTATGCACGAGCGTGCTGCGGAGGAGGTAACTGTGAGGCGCATCTAGTAGCCATGCCCACCTTCTATGGCGACCTCCGGATTACTCACATCCCTATAGGCACTTCCGTTCTGTTCACAACTGGTGGTGACATTTACGATGCTAGGAGCCAGGGCATTTTTAGGCAGTCAGAGCCCACTTTATCCCAAGGCTACCTCGTGCCAGTTCAAATGACCCCATTCGTATTAGAAACATCAATTAGGGAGGGAAAAAGTCATTTTGATTTTAAGCAACTTTTATGTGAATTCCTTTTTCTCTTCTGATGTGTATATGATATGGTGACTTAAGTTCTACATCTGTCTATCTCTTTCCCATGTTCAATTCCATTCATCCCACAAATTATTTTTGTTACATATTTGCCATTCTTTCTACCCAGTAAACTACCTTTCTCCTTATAAGTCTCTGCCACTTCAACAGATACTCAGTGTTCTCATGACTTTCAATAAGCTTGCACTTTTCCTTATCCCTTTCATTATGGTCACAATCATTTGTCTGAATAGGTAACTCCCTCTTATCCATCCCAGGCTTTCTTTCAGCGCTCTATGGAACATGCGTTACCCCTCTCTAAAAAAAACAAACTCTAAATATTTGAAGCTGAAACAGCATCATCATATGAATCGTGAACTATGTGGATGCTCAGAATAGACATTTTTAATTTCAGGGGATTTTCAAGGAAGAGTATCAGAAGTAAGTCAAACCTCATATTCTAATGATAAGGCAACATGGTAGCTCAGTCCCTGATGTGACCGCCATCCCAGAGTCGAGGAAACAGGGTAGAGAACTCATGTATACCAGTGTTAATGAGGTACTGAGCAAAGGTAGTATGGAAAAAAACATCACAGTTTTTACAGACGGAAAATAATATTTGACAATTACACAATGTAAAACAGGTGATTTGAGATCTGTTAACTATTGATGAAAAAATATTCAATTGTTTTCTATAATTATGGGGAGAATAAAGAATTAGAATATATTAAAGAATGAATTTGTACACATAATCTTTGGTTCCTCTCTCCGCTGTGGCTGCGTGGAACTTGCTATGTAGACTACACTGGCGTGGAACTCAGAAGGTCTGCTGGCCTCACTCCTGCTCTCTGGGAGCTGGGTTAAAGCCCTGCACCACACGCCTGGCCTTGTACCAAAATTTTAATAAAATACCTGCCTTGTTTTATTTCTGACCAGGATACATTCAAATACCATTAAAAGATAATTTAAATGTGGTGAATTTTTGTAAGGTTTGAAAATTAGTTTCATTACTCAAAAATGCCTGAAATTCCAATACTGAGTGTTGACCCAGAGTCTGGCAGGAAGCTCCGTCCTAGGACATGGGTCAGTGGGGAGGAATGGGGGCTTCCAGCCCGCTCCTGCCGCCTCTCCTTGCCTCGCCTTCCCTCTCTTTCATTATTTTGTTCTGAAACGGTTTATCATTGACCCACTTCAAGAGCTGCCTCAAGCCCAAACCACCTTTTAACCCTCCAGACCTGGGAAGCAGATGAGAACTGGACAGTCCTAACAGAATGCACGATAACCCAGCACCTGTTACAGGAAGTCGCAAAGGTCTTCCAGTACTGAATGGGCTGTGTTTGGTCTGCAGCCTTCCTCCATAAATCTCTAAGTCTTTGGTGTTCCCTGGCGACAGAAGCAAAAATCACTTTAGAAAAGTACTTTCCAGAACGTTCCACCTAGCTCCTAGCCAAGCCACTCACGTCTATGTGCTCACGTGATTGAAATTCAAGATCTACCATTGGCTGCCTTTGACGACAAAACAGGAAGAACATGGCTTGATGTGTGTATTGCTAACGTCTGCAGTGACGATTCCACCTCGACACAAGCAGGGTGGCTTTCAGGAAGAACGAGCAGTCACCACATCTCACTGTGAACGGACAGTGTTGCTAGGGAAACTGGTAATTACTTAGCAAAATGGAGGGTGCAGAATAGAAAAAGAGTTCAGAAGAAATGTAAGGTTTTGATCCAAATCAGCATGTTAATAGCACAGTTTGTTGATCTTCTGTAGTCATATAATTTAATAAATGCCATTAATTATATGTTTGACAAGATACCAATTTCTAAACTGAAAGAAATGAGAAATGAGGAAAGTCTACTGGTTACTGGTCATAGCCTGAGCATACCACAGAAGGCCCTGTATTTATAGTAAACTACAATTAAACTTTAGACACCCATAAAGGTTAAAAACCTACACTGGCTTGGTTTCTGCGCCTTCTCTTTTGACTTCAATTGTACGCCTTTTCAGGGATAAAAACTGTAGCCGCATTTGCTGATAGCATGACTTACCTTTGCAGCATAGCCACATGGTGCCAAGCAATGGTGGCTGGCTGGAGAGGAAAGAGTTGACACCACTTTTATATTTCACATAATAAGGCAGATGCAGAGCAGGTGGGGACCCTCCTGAGACAGCCCTTGGTGGGATGGTGTACCCTCAAGGCTCCTCCCTGCCAACTGACTTCAGGCAGTACTTATAAACGATCCCTTACTTAGGGACAGCCCAGCAGAGAGGCATAAACCAAGGGAGTGCATCCAAATCTTTAAACACAGACTTCATTAAAATGAACATTTTTCAGTTCTTTGCACTTTTAATGATTAAGGAACTACATCTGAAGTTAATGCTACAATATAAATAGCTGCTTATTAGAAACATCTATCTGGAAACGTCTGTGTCTGTGTGTGTGGTATATGCGTGTGCATGTTTGTGCGTATGTGTAGACATGCCAATGAGTGTTTGTCTTAGTGTGAATACATGTATGTTGAGCTGAGCTATCATTCCTCAAGAAACATTATTTTATTTTACATTATTTTTTAATCTGGATCACCAGTTTTAATTGTTGAAATATTTTTATGACAATAACAAACAGATAAATTATTGGTGCATTTTTTTGTCGTGCTTACAAACAGAACTGCAATGATTATTTATCATCCAATGCAAGTTTATCTATTTTCCAATAGAATTCGGGATCCTTTTTTTTTTCTTTTTACCTAAAAATTTCCATCTCCTCCCCTCCCATTTTCTTCCCCCTCCCCCCATTATTTTAGAATAGGTCTCTCAGTGAACCAGGAGTTTTGATTCAGCTAGGCTGGCTGATGACAAGCCCCAGAGACATGAATTCTTATCTCTTGCTCCTTGTCCTAGTACTGGGATTACAGATGTACACCCTGCACACGGCTTTTTATGGGAATGTTGTGGATCTGAGTTCAGGTTCTTACACTTGTGTGGCAAACACATTACCTGCTGAACCATCTTCCCAGCCCTGAAAATATTTTAATAGGAGAAAAAGATCACCAAAAAATGAAACAGCTCCTAACAGAGTTTTGCTGCAAGTCAGGCTTGTGAGTGGCCAGGTCGCGGTAATACTGCTCTTGTGTGGCGCTCGCTATAAATCCATGAGAAATGAAGAAACCAAGTCTCCCAGGCTTCATATTTATGTGTACACAATCTCTTACATTTTTAATGTACGAATACACTGTTTAAATGAAACATTCATATGGATATACACATAAACTCTACATACAGAAGTGACATGTGGATTGTGGATGTGTCTGATGCTATGTTCTCTTCTTATTTGGTTTTGGGCAAGATGGACCAAGTACAAGCAGGACCCCACATAAAGAAGAGAACTGAAGAGAGAATCTTAGATCAGGTTGCCTGCCCTCTGATGCATGGGCAAGATACTATTCTATGGGTGGGGACGAGAAGAAATGGACTATTATTTCCAATGTTGTTTACGAAGGGCATTTATTCCTGACACTTGGGTTTGCTTCAGTTGGAACTGTCATTTACGCTGAAGTGGTCATGTTTGATACGAGCTAAAACGGACAAGTTCTTATCTTTATAAGTTTTAGAAGGTGGCTTGAGCTTTGGGATCTCCAAGCCAGAAAAAAACTCAAGTCCTATTATTTTGTCAGCACAGTGGTAAGGAGAGACCAACCTTGACTCAAGCCATCCTGACAGGACATTTGTCTGACTTCCATGTTCTCCATAGTGTCTGCTTTGGAGCCCTCACCCGGAGATGTTCTCCTCTCAAAGATGTTGTTGTTGTTGTTCACCTGAGTCCCACTCTGCTTCAGCAGCCTGAACACTTCAGCCTCCAGATCTCGAATCTAGAAAACAAAAGGCCATTCACAAACTGAATGCCCAGCACGTTTCCCTCTGGCAGAGCCGCCACGCCTCCCCACGCCTCCCCATGCCACTCACCCGGACTTGCAGGCCTTGCACTTCCACCAGGTGAGCCTTTTCCACCTCTTCCAGCTTCTTTCTTTCTACTTCCTGTCTCTTGATGAAGTCGAGCTCTCTAAAGAAGAAAGTAATAGGTTCAATTGCAGATAACGTGAGTGAGGAAGAGCTATTTAAATAAGTGAAACTCAAATAGAGTTAGGAGGAAAGTTTATGGCAACAAAAGAAAAGACACCTTTAATGATTTAATCACAAGTACAGGAAGTATTCTGATTTTCTCGGTGTGCTGTTCACCTGGTGTGAGTCCTGATAGGGAGCATGCACACGCGTGTGGACAGGAGTGACTGCACCAATGACTCCGTGGGGAATTTAATGGTGATAATTTCCTGTCAGTAGAAGTGATTCTCTATTTCCAATACGCAAGGCAACAGATGGAAGTGAATGGTAAGAGCTGAAAAGAGGTCGTTCCAGCGAGAAAACCGTGGGCACTGGGACACAATGCATTCACACCTCCACGAGTAATCTTGGAAAAGAGGGTACCCCTCCATTCTGAGAGCTTCTGATGGAATATGCAAATCTGGTCATTTCTTATAAATACAGTGTTGTTAACAAAAAGGTAAAACAATAATGTATTGAGTTTACACTAACAGAGTACTGCTATCCTCTCTTAAACAACTAGTTAAAGCTATCTGTTTCAACTATTAAAATATTATTTCCAAGACAGGAAAGAAATAGGATGATGATGTCACACATACTTAGCTTCTAAAGTTTGTCACAGAAAACCACGAAAGGACTGGTGTTGGTCAAGGGTCAGAAATAACTCATGAAAATCTCTTCGGGCATGCTCTCTAAGATTAAGTCATGGCCCAAGAGATGGGGGGGGGGGGGACAACCGCAGCTCGGAAAGGAGCTGCTGAAATTTCCTATGAGGGTGTGGTGAGGGCTCCAGGAACAGAGGACGAGCAATGCAGAGGCAGGGTGGGAGGTCCGGCAAGTCAGTGTTTACGTGTCTACAGAGGCAGGGTCTACAGTCACTGGTTCTGAGGACAGACAGACCCCACCTGCTCTCTGCATGTAGCACGTCCAACTGTCTCCCAGCTTGTGTAGGACTAAAGCTACACCGCTGGTTTCTAGAACAGAGATGCTTCCAAAAAATCCAGTTACTATCAAAAATTAAGAAGGAGTCGGATGGAAAAAATATATTTCCATGAGAAAAGTTGCTCTCCTAATCTGTGGGAACCCCCCTGCCCTTTGCACACCTCAAACAGGATCAAGCATCGGGGATGTGTCCTCTTCAGACATGCTTGGGTTCAAACTGCTATTTGGAATGCTTACTTTTGTTGAAAATCCTTGATCAACTTCTTTGCTTTGTTGTACTTCTTTTCCAAGGCCTGATATTGGCTTTGAGTCTCTTTGAGATGCTCATTCACAGTGTGGCACAGCGTCTGGGCCTCGATCCAGTAGGTTTCCAGTTTCAGCATTCTCTCCTTATTCTCTTCAATATTCTGTTGAAGTTGGTTCTTTTCTAGTTCCCACCTTACTTTCTCATTTTCTGCTGCTTGCAGCTGGAGAAAACAAATGTCAAGGCAAAAATAATTTAGGTATGTCTGCAGCAACTACCGCTCCATTCTCATTTGTGAGTTTACCCCTAAATAAATAACCGTCTCTCTCTCTCTCTCTCTCTCTCTCTCTCTCTCTCTCTCTCTCTCTCTCTCTCTCTCTCTCGATTCTGAGCTAGTGCGCCATTTCTTTTCAGCATCCTTCTTCAGTCCGCACCACTAAAGCTTGGTGTAAATATAAGTCTATCGTTCTGTACATCAAAACAGCATGGGACGAGAAGATCAACAATTCTTTCCATATCTATAAAGGATAAAAAGGGAAAAATGACTTGCTCAGGGTTATCCATCTGATAAATGATGAAACACAAACACTTTCTTTGATAGCATGTAGTTTCCTGAAAGCAGGAAGAGATGTCTAGCGTATCACTGATTCGGTTCAATATATGTCACCTCCTTTCCTGTGAGAGCATGTTAAAATGTTGGACAATAAGTTGAAAATTAACTAGAAAGGGAGTGGGGTGGGGCAAGAGAGGAGGAGAAGCCTACAATGCAGTAGAACAGTGGTTCTCAACCTCCCTAACGTTGCAACCCTTTACTACAGTTCCTCAGGTTGTGGGACTCTCTTAACCATAAAATTATTTTTGTTGTTGCTTCATAACCATAATTTTGCTACTTCATGAATTGTAATGTAAATATTTGCATTTTCTGATGGCCTTAGAAGACTCTGTGGATGGGCCACCCCGAGACCCATGGGTTGAGAACCACTGCACTAATGGTTAAAATGGGACTTAGTCACTCAGCTTACATTTGTTATTTGCCTTAAAACTTGGACAAGTAGTCCAAGTTCCTAAGAGTCTGTGTTAGCGTCTACACAGTGCCCTGTGCTCGCACCGCTCAGCATCCCTGCAACACTTCTTGGGCTTCACGATGATCCAGTAAGCTTCAGCTGCTCTTCCTTTTTCAACCCTTTTGATGATGCTATTAGCTTCCTGATTTCAGTTGACACACACACAGTCTGTCTCTCAATATATTACAGGGAATATTAAAAATGTCTAGGACTTTATAAACCTTAATTTACACCAAGCATAAAAGACAAGGATAAGTAAGGGTATAAATGGTTGTCTGATTAATCTAAATCTCTGCAATGGCTTGGAAGATAGCTCTGTGTTGTTATTGTCTCTAGGTATCTTTAGGAAGATGGAGTGCAGTTTTCTCTAGGTCTCTAGGCTGAATTCGAGTGCAGGGAAGATGTTGATACATGTTCAGATGAAGCTTACAGGGCACTAACAACAGCTACCTGCCCTTAGAGTTGCTGCTCTACTTTCTGTGCCTTCTTTAAACTTATGAGTATTCAAAATGAAGACATTCTGACATTATATAGCATTGAACATATGGAATACACATTCACACGAATATATATATTTATATATCATGGGTAATAGTTTTTTTCAAAACTTTTTACTAAATACATTTGGACAAGAGGTTACAAAGTAAAAATTACTTAGAAATGAAAAAAATCTATTTAACATGGATAAGAATCACAATTACATATTTTCAACTGTGGATATCATATACCAATCTAGGAAGAAAAATATAAAATAGTAATTTGCAGTATTTTCTAAATTAAATCTTTGCAGTCAAATGCCTAAGTCTGTCTATGAAAGCATTTGTAAACACAGGCCTCCTTTCCCTATTTGTAACCAACAGCTGAAGAAGATCTGCTTTTCAACATCAGGAAGGACTAGGTGTTTACTGCATCTGTAATGAAGAAACATTCATAGCAGCTGTTTATGTGCCAGTCACTGCTAACGGAGAACTTAAAGTCACAGTGTGAAGCTGGCACCATGAAGGATGGATAAAGACGCTTTGACTAAAGAGTTTCAGAGAATGCATTAACCAAAGGAGCCCGGCTGAGTCACCCCCTCTAAAACACACGGGATCCAAAACAAGCATTTACTCTGAGTGAGAAAACAGATCAATAGTCATGGGGATAATTTTTATCTTAATTTTAAAGAAATCATGGAAGCAATACAGAATAGTTTGAAAGAAACTGAAAAATACTTTTAAATCTCTGAAAATATACATTTGTTAGAGCTGAACACAATAGCTAGAACTGTATCTCGTACAAGAATTTTACAGTTTTCTTTGATGTCTTGTTTCATAAAGATAAAATATAGTCTATTAATACTTTTCTCCCTTAACAAATTTAAATAAAGCAAGCTAAGTATGTCTCAAGATTTCCAGCCATTCCTGGATCTAAATCAATTACACAGTGTCATAAAGTGAGTTTATAATATTTAATTCTTAGACATGGGAAACGTTTTTGTAAAAAGCAATTAATGTGCCACATTAAAACAATACATTTCTTCTATATATTAGCTAAAAATAAATCAATCTATTTATTATAAGGTAAATTATATAAATGATATTTTATATACCAGCTAGCATTTAAAAATTAGTACATATTTCAGATGCTTGAGCCATTAAAAATATTATTTTTGAAGAAATTTCAGAGAGAATATGCATAAGTATGAATCTATTTAAGACATTAAGTTCTATGTGGCTTTCGCTCAGGTGAGTGCGGTGTGCTTGCTCTCCCGGAAGTTCTTTCTGTTTGTGTACTCAATGGTGGAAATGAAACTCTCATGTGAGCGTGCTCTCAGTGCACAGGAGCACACCCGTTTGTCCGCGGAGTATCCAGAACTCAAAGAGCACAATTCAAACACCACGGAGCGGTGCTTACCTTGGTCTTCAATTTTTGAATCTCTGCTTCTGTAACTGCATGTTTGATTTGCAACTGAAAATTGAAAAGAAAAAAATCTCAACTAAGAGTGTTTCTATATTTTTAAAGACTCAGCAGCGAGAAGAATACCGTTTGACACAATAAAAGCCTAGGAACCTGCTGCAATGCAGCAGGCTGTAAATTACAATGTCTAGCGTGTAAAATGACTCACTGGGTGCACACTAATTAAACACAGGGTTTATGGCTCGCAGTCCCTAACATCCGATTAAGTTACCAGTTTAATTGCTCACAGGCCAAAGAAAATAAAACCCATTTCTTGAACTCTGTGGCTCTTCCTTTATGATCTGAGCATCCCGGAGCTGTTTCTTGCTGAAAGGCTTGAGCCTGTCAACAGGCCTGGCACAGCGTGACGATGCAGTCCCACATCTTGCGGAAAGGTGGCGCTGTGGTTCTGTCAGTCTCACATTCCGCAGTGGCTCTGCTGCAGAGGAAGGAGGTTACGCGGTGGCTCTGAGAAATCTCTGCGTTTGTTTTTCCTCCTCCTTCTTTTCAAAAGAAGGAAAGGTACAGATTCAGATTTATGCCCTCCAAAATATCTACCTGTATGAAGACTCCAACCTCAAAGGGCATTTTCTACACCATAATAGTCGCCTTTGCCATTTGTTTGCGTTGCTTCCCCTCCCCCCACGCGGTTTTCTTTGTAAGAACGGATCTTCAATGCGTCATTCATTTCTTTAGGACTCAACGCCCTCCCTGAACTTAAGGAAAACAGTTTTTGGCTCACGATTTGTTCTCTGAAGTCCCTGGGAAAGGAATTCCCAGTTCTCCCCGTGTTAGAGGTTAAAACAGGTTCACCAGTCGTATTTTGCCAGCTAGAGAGTCTGGGAGGGGGGGTCACTCTGCAACTAACACTGGTACACCCTATGTGGCACCCTGCCTTTTTTGTTTGTTTGTTTGTTTTGTTTTGGTGCAGAGTACTTTGGAATTAGAACTGTCCAGGAAGGACTGTAATCTTATGACTACAACCAAGTAAATTTAATGCATTTTACCAGTCAGCCAAGGAATAGCTGAAGGAAGGGCCTTGAATTACAATGGGAAGAAACCTTTGCTGCCAACAGCACCTCCTAAATGGTTCCTCTCTGGGTCTGTGGCATGTATGACCTGCTGGGGACACAGGAGAAGGGATCATAAGGGAAAGGAGGAAGAATCAAAAGAGCATGGCCGAAACATCCAGCATCCAACTGACAACAGTCAGCCTGCAATTGCCAGGCATGGAGCCCCAAGGTTCTCCTCAGAGCTTTGTCTGCCCTGCTAAGGACAATGCCGGCAGCTCAGCTGTGGAGGGTGACCCTGACACTTTTAAAAAGGACTGAAGACCACCCTCTCTGAACTGAGATGGCCAGAGGTCTGCATCTCTTGATTTCATACCATTGGTCTAGTGGTCTGACTCACTTAGCAGATGCCAGGGTGTGAGCGTGCCCTGGAAGGAAACCACACCAACCTAATGTTCCCAGTGACAATTCTGTGGAAGGCCATTTCTTCTCCCCAGGAATCCTGGTCTAGATAGGTCTTCCAGATGCTGACAGTGCTGGGACACCCAGGCTCAATACCTACAGGGTCCGCCTTCTATCTATGAGCCCACAGTGAGCACAATGACCTAGAGTCTTCATGCTCACAATTTGGGGAAACTGAGGCTCAGAGAAAACAATCAACCTGTCTAGTTAAAAAAAGAAATCAACGCTAAATTAGTCTGGGTTTTGATCTTGTGCCATTTCTCTTAAAAACTGGAGATGAACTTTATAATCATCTATGCAGGAGGGGCTCTATGTAAGCCGCTGTGAAGGGAACATGTCCTCTCTCCAACGAAGTCATGCTAACCTCTCCTGCCAGTAAGAACTAACATCACAGAAGGGCAGAAGTGCTTACACGTTGAAGGTATTCTTTATATACAGCATGGAGACAGATATAGAACTACAAGGAATTATATTGAGAGATATTATACTGTTCGACAGTAAATGAAATTTACATGCTTGGATCACTGTTTTCCATCCATCACGGACATGAGTAGCTACTCTCTGCTGTTTAAAACATATTAATATGAAAAGTCAGGCGGCTCAAATTCATCATGTTTGTCATGTGCATGTGATGTGCAGCAGGAACACTGTGTAACCGCTCACCGGCACTGCTGTCCCATGTGACCATTCTTACCGGGACACTAAAGGAGATAATCCATATAAGGCATTCAAAGCACAGTGGCTGAGTAAGAGTTATCAATACAGTCAGCCAGGACCAGGGAGAATCATCTAAATCACTTCCCACTTAACCGTGTCAAACGACCCCTGCAGTCCTATACTCAGATAGCAGAGGCTGGAGGATTGCTGCAAGTTCAAGGCGAGTCTGGTCTACATAGCCAGTTCAAGGCCATGAAAAACACCACAGTGGCATCAGAAAAAGAGACAAAAGGCATTAACTGGCATATACAAAGTCACTCCTGAAATAATCCCTGGCTCTAGCCATGTGCTCTGCAGTGGACACTGTGTTATGGGTGGTGCACACACAAAGTTCCTCCTGAAATCAACCGTTCTAGCCAAGGGTCATCTCTACAGTGGACACTGTGCTACGGGTGTGTAACATGGTGGGCCAGGCCTGCTTGTTGTTGTTGGTTTTTATCCGGCCCAGTACCCCACAGCTGTTTAGCCCCAAAGAAAATCACACATAGGTCTCCATAAATTATAAGCTGATTGGCCCATTAGCTCTAGCCTCTCACTGGCTAACTCTCACATCTTGATTAGCCCATTTTTCTGATCTATGTTAGCCATGTGGCTCAGTACCTTTTTCAGTGGGGCAGATCACATCCTGCTGTTTCGGTGGTCTGGGCAGGAGTGGGAGGAATCAACTTCTTCCTTCCCAGAATTCTCCTGTTCTCCTTGCATCATTTCTACTTTCTGTCTGGTTTTCCCACCTATACTTCCTGCATGGCCAATCAACATTTATTTAAAACATGATTGACAGACTACAGACAATTCTCCCACACCATGGGTGAGTGCCAGACACCGTTTTCTTGATGATGGACTCAATGCATATGGCTTCACATGTCGTGGGACTTTAGAATTCTTTGCTCATTACCACTTGTGACCTCTGCCAGTTTCTCATCTGCACCTCAGTTTTCCAAATGAAAACCGAGAGGACTAGATGGGGAGAGCCCCCACCAGCACCCACAGACTTCCACATTGGGCAGCTATGGGTAAAAAAAAAAATGGGCCAGCTATATTAGCAATGATCAGAGTTCAGAGATTCATATCACAAGCACCTTCTCCTTATGAGGTACATACTAGGCCAGTACCTCAAACTGTGGATGAATCTAAGGAGAAATAGGAAGTAGCCCATACTAGTTTCTGATGTGGATGCCCATCTGTATATGTGTTGCACTTACTGGGTAATGAATAAAGTTGTTTCAGCCAGTGGCTTAGCAGAGTAAAGCCAGGTGGAAAATCCAAGCAGAGAACCAGAGAAAAAGAAGGCAGAGTTAAGCAGATGCCAGCCAGCTGCTGAGGAAAGATGACATGTAGAGAATGTTGTACTGCCACGGCCATGTGGCAATACATAGACTAATAGAAATGTGTTAACACGTAACAGCTAGCTAGAAATACGCCTGAGTCATTGGCCAAGCAGTGTTGTAATTAAAAAGTGTCTGAGTTTTTATTCAGGTACGAGCAGCAGGGAAACGAAAGCAGTTTCTGTTTACAGGTCTCTAGTTAGCTTGAAGTTCTTCTCACCAAACAGGAAAGAGAGAGGGCTGAGCCGATTAGCAATGAGGTGGCCTCAACCAGTGAGAGCTTAGTGTTAGGAAAACTAGTAAATTCTTCAGATCCAGAATGAAACGTACAAATCTGGATATCATTCAAAAGATAAACAATAACTCTACTGTAAGGTTTCCTAGTTGATACAGGCCTGAAATTACAGATATGCAGTTATTTTAATCCTGGGAGCAATACACCTTTCAAGGAATTTTTATATATCCATCCCTATTAGTAGGAAAGAAATAAAAATATACAAGTTGAACCTTTTCAATTTGCACAGTAGAACACTGTACAAAAGACTTTAAATAGGATAGCTAATAATTGTCAAAGTCACAGTTGTGCTAATATAGGATTTTTTTTTTGTTTTTTTGAGACAGGGTTTCTCCGGAACTAGCTCTTGTAAACCAGGCTGGCCTCGAACTCCCAGAGATCGCTTGCCTCTGCCTCCTGAATGCTGGGATTAAAGGCGTGCGCCACCACTGCCCAGCTTTAGGATTTTTTTTTTTTTTTTACATTATTAGAAACCTGCTTGCTTTTCTTCAGCCCCCTATATACTGCAAATGGCTCTGGGAGGAGGTGGTCAGGTCCTGTTCAATTCAGATGAGAAAGACGCTGAGCAACGTCACTCTGCATCTTGCAGCTTCCCCGGGAGCACAGGGTGCAAGACACCAACCCCAAGCCTGGCTTCTCTGCTTCTGCCCAGCAGCTTGCCTCACTTGTTTCCTCAAGGCATGCATTTCTCTTTCAATCTTATAAAAATCTCAAGGTGCACGTGATCGTCGCTGCCCTAGATGGGAATCATGACTCTGACTGGGCAGTCTCTGAGGATCCTGACAAGGAATGTACACTGATAATGCTACCAGCATCTGGGGAGCTGAGCAGGTGGCTCAGTGGCTGAGGTGCTATGCTAGGAGGACCTGAGGGAGGGCCTGCAGCAGCTGTGCACAAGACCAAGAGCTCTATGTACACGTGCCAATGACTCTGGCTGGGGAAACAAGAGGATCCAGGGCTTTCTGGCCAGCCAAACAATGAAGAGGACAGTCACAGAGAAAGGCATCCATTGCTGACCTGACCTCCATATCATTCATGAGTGCACATCCCAATACACACAGGGAATCTGGCCTCCATATGGTGCATGAGTGAGCACCCCAATACGTATAGAGAATAAACATAAAAAAGAAAAGAAACTTAGAATATGTTCATTATTAAACTAATATTAAGTTAGTGAAACTGTATGCCCGGTCCATAGTCATG